CCCGTTGGGCTGAACCCCAAGTGGTCTCTGCAGAGGACTCGTGGACAGGTGGACCTGCTCAGCACAAGGGGCCGGAAGCTTAGCCATGTGTAGCCGTGTCGTCGGGCATACCTGCTCAGCGAGAGCCAGGTCATGAGGATTAGGTGTGAGACAAGGGGCGGGGGCTGGACCGAGCTGGGGCAGGGCTGCAGTTAGTCGGGAGGGACCAGGCCAAGGCTCCTGGGGCAAAGGGAGCCAGCAGGTGTTTAGTGATTTCTTTGAGTGGCTAAAGTCTGCTAATTCCCATTGGCCAGGAGCACCATTCCGAACCATGTCTCTCTTACATGGGACTTGGACCTCCTCAGCGGTCACAGTCAAGTGTCCTGAAGCTGTTGAATTTTCGTGCACCAGCATCCCGTGCACAATACCCAGGCTTTATGGGTCCAAGCCCTGTGACAGGGCTGAGGGAGTCAGGCGCCTGGGCTTTAGTGTTTGCTGAAGAACCACAGAAAAGCAGGAAGAGAGGAGGAAAAAGGAAACATGGAGCAGCTCCAACAGGCAATGTGCCAGGTTAGTCCAGGAGTGTAGCCTTGGACAGGCATCTCTGTGAGTCATGTGGCTATGTGCAGAGCTGGGGCGACTCTGAGCATGGGGCAAAGGAGGAGAAAGACAGGTACAACATAAAGACAGACACCAAGACTGTAGCCCATTTTACTCACCCACTGGGGCCGTATAAGCTCCAGCAAAGGGTCAGGGTTTCAGCAGAAGCCCGGCCATGACCCAGGCAGGGTCGCCATGATGCCAGTCAGTGTCCGCTGGGGCAGAAGTAGTGGGAGCTGATGCTGTACTGCCAACTGTGTGACCCCAGAGTGAGCGATCCGAGGTCGGCTAAGCACAAGCAGACCCTGGCAGTTTCTTTAATAACAGGTCTTCCCTCGGGAACAATTTCTTACTTTCTGCAAACATCTTGCTTCCGTGGTCTAACCAGGCTCTCCTGATGAATCTGTTGAAACACGCCATGCTACAAAGGGTAACGGCTTACTGCACCCAGGGGCTTGTCACCCTACCACACTGGTTCCTAGAGGTCCCAGACAGGTGAGGAGTGACAGGTGCAACCGTGTAAAGGGTCCCCAATGGCAGGGAGAGCTGGAGTCCTCAGGCAGGAACACAGCCCGGAAGGCATAAGCTGGGACTTCTTGGGACATGCACATTTAGGGGAGGGACACGGAGCTGTGGGGCAGAAGTGCAAGTGGCTTCAGAATGGAGGACCCTGATAAGGCCTGGATAGCTGTGTCCGCACTGCGCTGTCTGTACCGAAGGCTGAGCACCATAGGCCACCACTCTTCCCGCCCACCCGGGGTCGTGGCTGTCTGTCCCAAGCTCCAGTAAGACAGCAGACCTGGGTGACCCTGGCACATGGTCTGCAAGGCCCACCAGGCCCCTGAGGAAGGAGGACCATGGGAGTCGCCTCGAACCACAGAAGTGCTGGCCGAGGGTGCTGGCGACTTCACGCCTCCCGTCGCCCTCCGCACACGTGTCACCTCTGGTGCAGCTGCAGGTCCCATTGCCCACCTTTCAATTCACATGGGCGCTGAATTTTTCTCCACCATCATTTCCTGGTACAGCTGCTGTGACAACCAGTGAGCCAGCTGTTGCCTGTTTCGTGTATTTATTTATTATTGTTTTAACTGGATCTTGGGAAAAGTCCAACCAGTCCATGCCTTTCCCTTTAGCTCCGGTCATGAATCAGCTCCTCACCACCACTGAGAAGCCTGCATTTCCTCTGCACAGGGATGGCTCAGCCTGGGCCGTCCCTGCAGCAGACCTGTTTCTTTCATTTGTATGGCAGTGACTTACACTCTCTGTGGGCTGATTTGTCCTCCTGAATTCCTCTTCATTTTCTCCTAAATCAAAACTTGGGGTCAGACCAGCTCCAGCTCCCGCTCCCGACAGAACAGCAGAGCTGACCCACGTCCCTCTCAGCCCTGCAGCCCTTGTTCCATCCACAAGGAGGTTCCATCCATCATCTTCCTTCACTCTTCACATCAGACACCCTGAGGGACTGAAAATGACATTTCCAGAAAGTGAACTGCAGCAGGAGGGCAACCGAAACATCAAGTGTAGTAACAAAAACGCTCATTGTGTGTAGCAGGGTTAGAAGAAACCTGTGTAACCTGGTCCTCCAGTTAGGTTGCCTGAGCCCCCTTCCTCCCACGCTCCCTCCCTTCCTTCCTTTCATGGCTCCCTCCTTCCATCAGGCCAAAGGTCACCCATGCTGGAGTCAGCTTAGTCTGGGGATGGTCTATTTCTGCTGTTCTATCTCATTGTCCCTGGGGTCCCCACGCTGAACTCAGAGGGTGGTGCCCCTGTGGTCAGACTGCAGATAGCCCAAGCCCTGCTGGGCCTCTCCCCACCTACTCTTCTCTACCCTCATTCCCATCCTTCCAGCAGCTTCCCTGTTGTCCCAGACCCTGTCCCTGCTGGCCTTTCTGGCCCTCGGCTCAGACTCATCCGGTGAGAAAGGGTCAGTGTCCTCCCCACTCTAAGCGTGTCACACACGTGCAGGGTGCTGGTCCTGGTTTTGACAGTTTCTGCTCTACTGAGAAAGCCCAGAAAGGAAGGAGGGGCAAAAAAAGGGGTGGGGGAGAAGAAGAGAAAGAAGGAAGGGAAAGAAGGAAGAGAGAGAGACAGAGGAAGGAAGAAGAAAACGACAAGCGATGAAGACAAGGAGGGCAGGAAGGGAAACAAAGGAGAGGAGGATGGAAGGGAGAGAGCGAAGGGGGAGGGAAGGAAGGAGGGAGGACCTAGTTCAAAGGAACGAAGCAAACAGTAGCAGGGTTGCTCTAGATCCATTCTAACTCCCCACGATATTCCTAGATCCAAGACACTAGACTTCTGAGTAAGTCGCAAAATTTAAGCAGCCAAACTCATACCCTGCCTCCATCATGTGTGTGGTACGGCGCTTTAGCGCCCCCTGGAGGCGCAGGTGAGCGTTCTCCAAACACCCGCAGTTCGAAGCGCAACCAGAAGGCGGGAGCTCACCGGGCCTTCTGGAGCCTGGACCAGAATCCATCAAGACACAGAACCATGGCACAAGGGGCTGCCCTCATCTCGCCGGAGTCTCCTTCACGCCTCTCCTCCTCCAACTGGAAAGGGAGCAGAGAGACTCCTGTGGGACGCTGACGTGAGCGCGCACTGCTGGCCGAGCAGGAGCGGCTCATGTGCACAGTCTGGGGACTCCTGACATGCGCAAGCCCACGGGATCTTACTAGACAGTGCGGGGAGCAGCGTGTACATCTTTTCTCAAGGGAAGAGTGAAATTCAGGAACAGGTCAAGATCCAATGTGGAATTTCTAGCAAGCTTGGACAGCAAGGGGGCAAAGCCGAGCTCTGCGAAGCCAGACACTCCCCGGAGCAGACCCGGGCTCCCACGGGCTCCCAAGGACAGGGACTTGGCTTTCTCGCGACAATTCTGAGCATATCTCTGGGAATGCCTGCCGGCAAGAAGGAAAACCGTCTCTCCAGGGAGTAGAGGGGACGTTACAAATGAGAATCAGACACCTCACTGTGCTGGGGGGCGGAGGCGGTGCAGTGGGAGGAGCCTGGGGTCCAGCAGGACAGGGCCTTGGCTCTGAGCTGCCCTCTCATGAACTCCCGATCCCATGACGCCTGGGGACAGCGGCCATAAACTAGTGAATAGGATTCTTCCTCCAAGCCCGTTGCTCTCATCACGCAACACAGCTGACTGCACGTGCAACTTGACTTGCAGCCTACATGGGCCCTTGTGAGAGAGGATTCCAGCCCTCCGTAGTCCTTCTCCTCCCCCCAAACATGGAGCTGGGGTTCCTCTTGGCCTGCAGTCCTAAGTCTGCCTCACGTTCTGTGCTGAAAGGACACGGAGGCCCCGTGTCCTCTCCATACTCCAGGACGTCAGGAGCCCCACCGAGGCAGCAGCAGACCTGGCCTTCACTGTGGTGTCCTGGCTCACAGGCCAGCACTGGCCCTGCCCAACCACTCCAGCAGGGGGCCAGGCCCTCACTGCCTGTGTTGCCCTTCACAGCCAGTGGGTCTGCATCCTTCCTCTAGGCTGTGGCCCATGGGGCTGGTTCCCCTGCTGCCCCAAGGCAGAACCCTCCTCCTCAAGGAACTCACCCAGGAACCTGCGCCAAGGCCTACCTGAAAAGGCCCTACCATCTTACAGGTCGGGCACTCTGTCTCCACAGCCTTCTCCCACCCACAGGCTCACACCCAACCAAGCCTGGAGAAAAACATTTGGGGAAAACGTGTCCATACTGACCACAGACATTTGCCGTCAGTATTTCCTTTCTGATGGGACAGCTGTTTACATAGCCTTTACTTTTCACTGGGTGTCCTGAATAACCGGCTGGGGATTTGAAGCACCCTAGATGTTACCTGTAGTTGTACGAAAGTCTATCATTTTGTATCAGCATGGCATCACTCCCAGCATACAAGGGAAGATTATCCATGAGATTTACTTACCTTCTGCAGCTGCTCCCCACCAGACTGCAGTGGGAGGTGTGTCGCCTTCACTCACCTGCTGCAAGAATGAACAACCAGCCAGGCATCCCTGGTTTGTGACCAAGCCACCACCATGGCACCACCAAGCCCAGTGCTAAGGGTTCCTGGAGCCAATGCTGGCCCCTACAAGACCCCTGTGCACCTCTCCCTGGCTGGTGTGGATGGGGATCCTCTCCCGGACTGCTGCCTGACTGTCGCAGATATCCCTGCCCAGTACTGGCAGGCTGAGCGGCACCTGCTTCTTGCTTTCCATAATTCGTGTCACTCCAAACCTCTCAATGTCTTTTCTGTCCACAGAAATGTCATGGGAAGGGAGGGAACATGGCAACTTTTCCCGGCCACCTCAGTTTTCACAGTGGGTTAGCCACTCAGGTTTATACACTGCTTAGTGAGAGGAGGAGGAGCCCACCACCGTAGCGAGGATGGGTGCCATGGTGAGATGAGCTACAGATATACAGTGGAGAGAAAGCTACATGTCAACAAAGATGAATTTTATTGAAAAGCAATGAACAGGGTACCACAGACTTGGATTACACAAAATATCAATATACGGTAAAACATGTGCTAATGTTATTAGATCAGAAGATCATCTTTGAGACTTTCACTGTACAGAATGAACACAGGACAGGTCACACCCCGCAAACTGTGCAAGTGTGTGCATGTGGTACTGGGGACGGAACCCAGGGTCCTGCGTGTGCCAGGCCCCAGCCCACACACTGCAAAGCTCTTTAAGTAGCATCACACCACACACATTACCTGAATTACGAGTCCGTCTGTTGGTAACTCTGGCTTGCAGGACTTTTCCTAACATGGGGACAAAATACGAAGAGAGTTGCTACAGTGCACCAGGGCCTCTCCTCCAGGTGCAAGCATCAAGCACCCCGCCACAAGTCCCCTGGAGAGAAACTGCCTGCGGGGGAGAGCCTGCTGCAGACCTCAAGTCACACTAGGAGGGAGCCGCGGTTTCCCAAGTCAGTCTTAAGGGGGCCCTATCACCAGTGTGGGCTGCATAAACGACACGATCCACTCCAGAAGCGGGGTGTGCAGGGCTCCTCCAAGAGGACCAGAACCAAGGACCAGAGAAGGTGCAGCGCTGGGTTTAAGGAACAACTGCAGTGTGCGCTCTATCCCAGCAGGCATCAAAGTCAAAGACCACTGTGCAACCCAGATGCAGCTCGGACCGGGCCATGCACACTTCGGCACTGGAAGCCACCACGAGGAGGGGGACGGTGCAGGGTCCAGAGCACCTGCTGCGCATCACTCCTCCTTCCTCCTCCTCCTCCTCTCTTTTCTCATCTCTTGAGCCTTCTTCAGCTCAGTCATCAGGTTCAAAGTCTTGCGCACCCACATAATCTAGAAACGATCATTTTGAGACATGTAAGAACTAAGATATGCAGCAAAGAAACAAACCCGCAAACACCAGCCACAGCACGCACCACAATGATCACAGCGTTGAGCAACAGTGGTGCAGAGAACATGATGGAAATGAACATCCCCCTGGAATCGAAGTACTGGTATTTGGAAAACAACCTGTTTTAAGAGAAAGACGAAAAATTCTTTGGCCTAACAGCACCCTCCAGCACCAGAGGATGGCGGAACAGCCAGTATCAGGGACACCGAGGTGCGCACGCTGCCCACGTGAGCAATGCCCCTCATGGAAGGTGGGGGTCACAGCCACCCTGCACTCGGCAGTCATGCAGGAAAGGCAGCACCAGGCTTCCGTGCAGTGTTACTCTCTAGAGGAAGCACCCAGGCTAAACACCACAGGTTAAAGGACCTGGCTGGCTGGATGGCAGGGTGGCAGTGGCAGGCAGGGCTGTCTGCAGGGAACACGAATAACAGCCAGCAACACTGGGAACCTGCCGTGTGCGTCACAAGCTCTGGGCTCTGCAGTGGACAACAGGGCCAGCCAGCTGCAGCCTCCCCTCCAAGGGGAGGAGGAGCTCCAGGACTTGTGTGCTGGTCCATCACACCCCACATGTTGTCACAAGTGAGGCAGAGTCAGCACCGGGGGGGCCACACTGTCTCGAGAGGGGCTGTGGCTGATAGGAGAGGGGCTGGGGGCAGGAGGCTAAGGTTACCTCCAGTTCATGGCAGCCACTTCATTGATGTACTCAGCACAGTAGACTAAGGCTGCTGAGAGAAGACGGAGATGGCATGTTAGAGGTCAGAGGGCAAGTCATTAATTCTTACAGAATAAACTCATCCATTCTTCACAATAGAAAATGAACAATGATAGAACACCAAGAGCTTCACAAGGTATTATTTCCATTTTAGCTGAAACATGAAATTTATAAACCTGTGAAGGTATAAAAATGCCCATTTAATAGAAAGCAGGCAGAACACATCCGGGGGTCTCAGTCAGACCCACGCAAGGCTGCTGTATGCAGGCACCTTCTCCCTGTGGCCCGGGCCCGTGACAACCACAGGTCGGCCCACGGGAAGCCACACAGCAGGCCGAGCTGAGGGGCTGGTACCACTGTCCTCGTTCACTGGCAGGAAATCACTGCGTGGGAGAAGCACAGGGCAGGGTCGAGGCCAGGCAATGTGGCCCTGCCGGGACTGCTGGCAGAGGGCTGTGTGGTCTGCTTGACCCTGACAGGTCTCCCTGAGGACCAGGGTCCTCCTAGGCTGCAGGGCACATGCCAAACCTCCAGCCATGTCAAACGCGAGGCCAACTTCACAGGCAGCAGAAATCACTACCCCTGCTACATACAACTGAAGAGAAGGCATCAGCAAATGTAAAAGCCTGGTGTTCAACTTTCTAGTATTAACTGGTCAGTTAAGTCAAAACATATAAACCTGCTGTACCAACCCCAGCAGTCTCCTGACCACCCTGCACAGCGGAGCCAGCAAGGCTGGACCAGCAGATCCTGAGGAAGGTGAGGAGAGGCCACGGCACACTGATGAGCACTGTGGAGCCGTGGGAAGGACCCACTGGGTGAGGGCTGCGGGCCTGGCCTGTCTCCCTTGTGAATCAGGCACTTGACACCCAACCTTTCCGATGTTTGAGAATTTAACAAGTCACAATACAAGGACAACGTGCAGAATCGGGCCTATTTTTTCCATGGCAACCACAGCCACCTCTCAGAAATCACAAATGCACACAGATTTACGTGTGTGGAACTGCTCACTGCTTCAGCTCACCCAAGGGGGCCACGACCTTCTCCAAGGTACTTAGCTCCGTGATGGCTCAGTGCTCGCAGAGCCCATTCTGCTCACCACTGACCCCCTGTGGCCTTTAGGACAGGACGGTATGGACTCTCACAGGAGGAGGGGATGTAGCGAGTCCAGCCACCCTCGTCTGCCCAGCATGGTTTCTGCGACGCACACACTCAACTGCACTCCAGTCTTCCTAAGGAACACCCTGTTCACATTTCTTAGACTGCACAGCCAGCAAAGTCTGTCTGAAATTAACTGGTGTTTTTATTACCAAACATCGCTCTTTTCACTGCCTTCATGATCATCTGGGAGGCAACCTCTCGTCATCCAGCAGCACACCTGTAATGTCTGGCTTCTCAGGCTGTGATTTCTCTGCGCTCTGACCAAGCTGCCCGCCTGTACCGACCCCTCCTCTGGGCTCTGCCCCGCGACCCTCACCTGGAGTAGAGCCTTCCTGACCTCATGCCCTGGCCAGTCAGCTTTTCCTTTTCTTTTCTTACTGACATTTTGTCCAGTCTTTCACCCTACACTATGGCTTTTTTTTTTCCATGCAAACTTTCTCAGTCACAGCATGAAGCTCCACCCTTTCTCTGAACTCCTGTAGCCCTTATCTTTAAAGTGACCAGGGTAATATCTGATTTTCTGCACAGACCCTTCCATCCTACTTTTCATTCTTCTTTCTATAGGAGGCAGTACAGAACTGAGCTCAAGCAGGAAAACGTCAGTGTAAAAGACAGTATTTCTCAAGGCCAAAGACTTCCTCACAGAACTGGTGTTCAGCACCAGCCCCAGCACAGAGGAGGCATTCAATTCATCTCTTTCAAATTTGATATCCTGACATTACAGTTTATCCACAGGACACCTGATGGCAGAGGCGGGAGGGGCTGTGAAAACATTTTCGTATCCTGAAGACACACACACACAGGACACAGTCACCTGACCATCACGGTGCAGGGGTCCCATGCTGTTGCACTCACCGAGGCTCAGGAAGAGACTGATCTGTAGTCTGTACCTCTGGGATGAGAAGCAAGTGAGCAGCAGGCAGAGCAAGTGGAAGACAGCCAGCCCCAGGAGCCACGGCTCGGTCCAGTCTGTCTGCTGTGAGGACAAACTGTTAGGCACCCATTCCCATGGGGCGGTGGGAGGCTGTGGACCCTCACTTACCTGCAAGAACAAGGCACTCAAAGAACACAGCGAGGTTGGCCAGAAATGTGGGGCAGGAAAAGGAGAAGGGGAGGAAATAATTCCCTCCACTGAATGTCCATGCACAAGTTTGTAACGATTCTGAAGTTTGAGCACACAGAACATCAACTCACCCCTTATGGTTGAATAGAACTATGTCTCTAATCTGGGTGAAGTCTAAGGGATTACTACGCTCTAAATGACAGGAAGTTAGGTCAAGTCGATGCACTTGTGCAACGTGATGCACTTTGTTACTCCCCAGGTTAAACTTGGACCCCGTGCTGTTCCTTAGCGCGGATCCTGGACCTCCTAATCTGCAGGACTTGATTTTCCTGCCTTCCGAAGTGCGCAGCCCTCCAAGCAGTGGTGTAGGCCAGGTCTCCCGTCTGGAGCTTCATAGCGGGCACTAGAGACACTCCAGACCCAGATCCTCCCACGGGAGGCTCAGCTTCACCCAGGCTGCTCAGTCCTTCCTTCCCAGAACCACCTCCCACGAGAGTTAAATCCTGCCCACAGCTGGGGCCTTGGGGCCCTTCAGGAACTTTGAGTGCCCAGGACTCTCAGCCAGGGGGCGGCCCCCGCCTCCTGTGCACCGGAACACCGAAAGACACAGCTGCGACCATCCCTGCCCCCTCCAGTAAAGCAGGACAGCCCGGTCAGCCGGCCAGCCCCCGCCTCTCGGCCATAACCCCGCCCACGTCCGCGCAGACCCCGCCTCTCGGTCGTAGCCCCGCCCACGTCCGCACAGACCCCGGCCCCCACGTCCAGCAGCGGTCTACGATACGGGGCAGAGAACCCGTGGTTCTCCCTCCAGCGGCCGCGAGTTACCGTGATCACCGCGGGGATGCTGACGGGGAAGGAGTTGACAGAGAACGCGGAAGGCATGATGTCCCGGAGGTCAATCCTCCCAACCGCCGCTGAGCTCTTCCGCCCCGCGCAGCTTGCGCTAGGTCTCATCTCGCGAGATCAGTAGAGGCGAACAGATTGGCAGCTTTGGGTCTTCTCGCGATAATTCGCCTTCTCCCTTTTTAAAATCAAGTCTCGCGTTAGTTTGTGAGAAGCTGAGATGAAGCCGAGGCTGGGTTTCTTCTCCGAATTTGCCCGGTAATTGAGCGGGACGTGGCAGATGATCCAGGCTGGGGGACTCCACGGGCCGGCGGGAACTATGTATGCTTTTGGGAATCTCAATTCTGCATTCCCGCCGTTTCTGTTCCGGAGCTGCCAGCGCAGCTCGCAGCGAGGGCGACTCACACCGGTACACCGGACCCGGCCCTCCTTCCCTCTCTCGGAAGACGGCCTTTTTGTTTTCTGTCCAAATCTTTCCATGTTTGTTTTGCTCTGGAAAGTATTGGTTTTAATAAATTGTAGCCATTTTTAATTGCAGGGCTCCAAGGTCCTGCGTCACCTCACCGGGCTTTGCGCCCACTTGTGACCTGTTCCCATTCTTACCCAAGGAAAGGGATGAGAAATGAAGAAAGCAAGACTGCCCTGACCTTCACGTGCAGAACCCTGGCCTGTGTGGCTGAGCCGCCTTGCGGACTCGAACAGGGGGCACCATGATGGCCTGCACGACGGGACTCGGCCAGCACAATATTTGTAGGTTCTATCTGGATGAAAACAGCAGTCAGCAAAGCTGATACGCTGACAGCTCCGGGCCTTAACTGCACTGCAGGTGCCTCTGCCTGCCCAGGGTTATACAGTTGTGCTAGACAGGACTGCGCCTCATCAGGGAGCCTCTCCCTGTAGGCTTTGTGCTACAGTTTGAGGGCTTGGAGGGGTGCTGTGATGCCCGAGGCTCCCGGTGTTCTCAGCCTTTAAAGGTATAGCCTGCAGGTTTGGAGAGTTCTCTGCCTTCAGCATTACTGCTTGAGGCTCCAAGTGCGCTCAGACCTTTGTGTTACAGCTGGGAGCCCAGTGTCATCGGCCTTCGGTATTGAATCTCTGGCCTCCGAGATACCGCACAGCCTTTAGAGTGTTACACAGCGAGGGCGCAGCTCTTGGTCCCCAGCATTAGAGCTCGGGGCTCTGAGTGCTCAGCCCTCAGAGTTACAGTTCTGGGCCTCTAAGGCCCGCAGCCTTTTGCATTGCAGTTGTAGGGCTTGGAGCATCCGCTCCCGCTCAGCGTGACTGCATAGGGCTGAGTGCCCACACACATCCCTGGACTGTTGATAGAACTCAGGCTGGGATTCTGCAAGGCCTTCAGCCCTTGGTGTTTTGGCTCTAGGGCATGTTGGCCCTGGCATCACAGCTCAGAGGTCCAAGTGCCCACAACCTTGGATTCTTAGTGCTACAGCTCTGGGGTTCTGAATCACACTGAGCGGGCAGGCTGCCCCTTGGCAACTATCCAGAGTATTTTAGCAGCTTCTGCTGGTCTCCACAGATTCCCATCAAAGGTCGCTACTCATCGCCAGTTGCTGCTAATTGTCACTGGATGCTGCTAATTGACACTGCTCTCTGGTAGTCACTGGTGCACAGAGCAGGTCTGTATCTAATCTGCATAACTAGGGTATGCACTAGAACTCTTGTAAACTGACGGGTGGAAGAGGAATGCTGCTTATATACCAGCAGAAGTTCTGTGATTGGTCCAACTTCATATTTGCTGATTGGTCTAAAGTTAAACCTGTGGATCCAAGCTTGTTGATTGGTCTAAATTCAGTTTGCTACTTAGTTCAAATTCCAGCCTGCTGCAGTGAGGAAAACATTTACCTGGAGCAGGTACACATCTCTGGTAGAAGTCAGGGACAAATGATTGACATGTCAGTGACAGATAATTGACGCCTGCTAGAAATAGGAGAAAATGGCCAGGCTAAAGTTGTGAGGGATGACCAAACCAAACTAATAAATCAGGGCAGATTCCATATACAACAGAAGACCAAAAATGAAAGTTCACATATTACAATTCCAGGGTTGCAACATTGGATGTTCTGTCCCTTTAAATTCACCTGGGACAATTCTGTCCCCTTTTCACAGGTGTCTGAGATCACCTCCTCCCACAGCAGTCCCTGCAGCAGGTGGTCCCTGAGGGTGAGAGCTGCAAGTGGAGGTCATGAGGTCGTTGGCCCACCCATCCACCCCTCATCCACCAGTGACACGTGGGGTGTTTTCACTCAATCAAGTGGACGCTGGTATGAGCCATGAAAGGGCAAGAAGGTGGATCTGCCTGTATGGGGCGTGGCAGACACTGGTGTTCTGGTCATTTCTGTGCCCAGCAAGGTAGGGATCAAGGAGTAAAGGAAGGTGGGGGCTCTTGGCCCATGGGGTCAGTGGCCTAGGAAAACCAGAGGGCACAAGTGGCTTGCAGCTTATTTATTCCAAGCTCGGTACCCAAAAGGGTCCAGGCTCTTCATGCTGCAGCCGAGTGAGGAAATGGCCATATTTAGCTCCAAGCAAAACACAAAGAAAAATCAGGTAAAATAAGACTTGTGTGTGCCGTAAATCTAACAGAGCCGCAGGTTCTTCCCACAGAAAGGCGGGGCAGTTCCCGAGGCTCCCAGAGGGTGGTGCTGTCGGACCATCGATGCTGGCATTGGCTGGGACACTAGAAAAGGACAAACTACAAATCACATCCCTGGTGAGATAGATAGCTCAAGTCCGTGTGTTCAGTGGGAGGTGTGCAGTAGACACACACTGTGGCCAGGAGGTGGCGAGGCCTCATTTTGTCCAGGGTCGCTGATGACAGAAGGGAGCAGCTGCCAGCCACAGGCAAAGGCAACCTCAGCATCTCGGCTCCTGGGCGCAGCAAGCAGCGTCGCTTCCTGAGGCACAGCGGCTCCCCCTGGTCTTCTGGACTTTGATCTAAAAAAGATGTAGGCTGGCGCCTCTCCTCCCTGGTCAAGGCTGCACACAGTAACGTGGAGGTGGGTGGGCTCTGTTGCTCATCTCACACCACACTATCGTCCGGTGACGGCCAGGAAGGGACAGCAGAAGTAACAGAGCCGAGCAACTCAGGCTGGGGTGGAGTCACCAACTTCCCCAAATGAGCCCAGGTCTCAGCGGAGTTGTCCTGACCCTGTCACACAGCCAGGATCAGTGGGCTGGCAAAGTCTCTCATCGTACCCCACGTTTTCATTACTGTCGTGAAACTCTCAAGACTGGGCACTCATTTTAACAAGGTTTATTTTGGCTGGCAGCTCTGGTCAAGGGCTGTGTCTGGCCGCCTGCTGGCAGAGCTGGCCCCAGCCCTCATGTGGTGACAGGGCAGCATGTGAATGTATCTCTGTCTCCAGGTGTCTCTCGCTCCTCAGAAGCCTCCAGGTCCAAAATGGGGTTGTGCCCTATGACCTAAATGATTCTCGTGACTGTCCCCCCACTTCCCCTTTCACCTGGGGATCCACAGAGACACACTCAACCCACATCTGAACCCCAGCACCCCAAGCATCTGCCTGCAGGAGCTGCAGGACTGGAGGACTGGAAAGACAGTGTCACCTGTATGACCACATCAGGGATTGTCACTGAGAGCATGATACTTGGGTATTCTGGGACTCTTCTGGTTTTTGTTTGTTTGTTTAAGACAGGGTCTTACTATGTACCCCACACTGGCTTTGAACTCACAGTGTGGTCCAGGCAGGTCTCAAACTCACATCGATCCTCCTGCCTCAGCCTCTTGAGTTCACCACATGTGGACTGGAACTCTAGTAAGATGGCTCATAGGTCCTGCTTAACTGCCTGGAAGGCAAGTGTGCCACACACAGGAACCAGGGCCCCCAGGAGCTGACCAAGTACTGCCACAACCCCAGTCCATTTTAAAGAATTTTAGTTGGAGACAGCGTCTTGCTAAGTCATTACATTTCTGGACTCCGACTTGTGATCTTCCTGCCTCAGCCTCTCCCAATGCTGGGATTACAGTGTGCACCACTGAGCCTGGCTGTAAATACATTTTAAGTACAATCTCGCTGGAGGAACACCTCTGGTAATGTTTATAAAAAAGGGCAAGACAGCCATGAGGACTTGGCGTTTATTCACACGTGCTCTAGAGCAAGCAGGTGCCTGCATTCAGAACAGTGTCATGGGAACGTTTGACAGAGAAATTGTTTTACATTGTCTGGGGCCTGTGGCCCTGGACCTAATCAGAAGCCTCAGCCATATGTGTCACCTCCCGTCCCTCTGCCCATGCCATGAATTTGGGGACAACACCAGCAGTGTCCAACTTCACTTCCAAGGGGCTCAGGCATCACACAGGCCAGAGTCACCTGAGATGTGTCACTGCCTCAGGCGCTCTGGATGGGATGTGCTGCGCTCTGCCATCTTGCCAGTGAGGAAGTTTCAGGCACAGGCAGGCAGGCCATGCATTCACACCCTTGACAAGGCCGAGAGGGCTGGCTCCTACATGCAGAGAGGGATCTGCGACCCACAGGCCGGTCCCTGCAGGAGAGAAGGGAGTGAGCCCAGGGCCTCCACCCCAGCTCCAATCAGCTTCAGTGGCGGCCTGGTGGGAGAAGCCAGGTCACCGGGCTGTGTCCTGAGGGGCTGCAGGGCCTGGCTCCTTCTCCTTCCTTTCCCACCCCAGCCCTGGGCAAGCAGCTGATTTTGTAACTGGTTTGGAGAAATGAGTTGTTTTCATCACATTTTGTCTGACTTAGCAATTCTCACTTGTCTGAATTTCTAACATGGGGTTGAGTTGTGACAAATTATCATTCCCTTTTAAATACAATTTGTCCCAGAGGAACTGGACAGAAGGAAGGCGTAGAACCACACAGCAGCACCTGTGTGCGGCTGCAAGAACAGCTGGGCATTTTTAGGGGCACCTTAAAGCTTCCCGAGAAATGGCTTTGCATGTTGCCACCTAACCAAAATGCAGGGGAGCCCACCTTCTCTGGGTGCTGAGCGCTCTGCAGCGAGGTCCCCACGTCCGGACGCGCTCTGCATCCCAGCGGGGCAGGGCTCTTCGCACCTCCCTCGGTGGCTGGCTGTTTGGACTCTGCGGTGCAGTGCATCCTGTGGGTGAGGGCATCCTGTGGGTGAGCTGGAGGAGCCCACGGCTGGTCCCCGCTGCAACCAGGAACGGGTGCTTCCTCCTGGGCAGATCCCGGAAGCCGCTCATGGGCTGGGGGCATCTCTCCCTCCAAGGCCTCCCTCAGATTCCCTCCCTTGCGACCCATGGTGCCTGCGGGTCAGTGGGGGCCAGGGCCCCAGCAGCCTGAGGAGGTGGCAGCCTGTGATGGTGCTGCCCTAGTTCCTTTACTTATTGAAGACACGCACGCGTCAACTCAAGCCCGAATCTCAAGCTGCAAGCTGGCTCCTTACTCTCTTCTCATCTATTTCTTCTGCAGAGAGAATTTTGCCAAACTGTGCTCACCAACCTCTGCTGCGGTGCTGTGTGGCAGCACCGACCTCACCTGCAGCTCTCCCAGGCATGAGCCTGGGGGTGGACACATCTGTCACCACCTCCAGGGGTCGTCTCTGCATTCTCAGCCCTCCTGGACCTGTGACACTTCTCCCCGTGGGAACTGTGTCTGGGATCGCGTTCCCAGGAGGAGGAGGTCACAGGACACCTGCAGTGTGCAGGGCCAGCTCCGTTTTCCCAGCAGAGGCTGCCAGGACCTCAGCAGGCCTCCCTGCTCTGAACACCGCAGTTACTGCCCTCCCTAGAGGTGGCTGTGATTGTTAATCTCACGCTTCAGTCATATCTGAGGATGGGTGCTGTGTGGTTGTCTTTGATCTCCAAGGAGCACGAAGTGCTGACCCCAGTGCAGGGCTGAGATTACATTAAACGTTGCATTAAAGCCTCTCAGCCCCGACATGCACTGCGTGTTTAATGACGAAGTGGCACCTTCACATTGCTAGTGGCAGACTGTCACATTCTTATTGCTTATCGAGATCTAAGATCTTTCTATTTGCTTAAGTTTTTAATTTCATTTATGATGGCTGATGCATATACTCATCTCAATGAACCCACGAAAGTCAAAAATCTCCCCCAGGGCATCCAAGTCCAGTGCAGCATCTTTTAGCAGCATCATCAGCTTGGCCCAATGGGCACCACCAGGTTGCACAAATTTACTTCATTATAAACTTGACATGTAATTCCACAGTCTAGTCATGACGCTAACTCTGCTCCATTCACGTATTTGCAGAGGTGCTGCCTGACCCAACAGCTGGCTTCAACAAGGGTTACTAGGAAATAACTTAATACTTTTTTGAGATCAAAACATTTACTGTTGAATACTTACTTTAGCCTTTAAAATGCAGGGGGTAGGGGTTTTTTAAGTCCTACAGATTTGCTACAGAGACCTAGATAGATAAACTGCATGTGTAAACCAGCCCAATTCTGGTAAGCCGCGATCGTGCAGAAACGTGTTTTCGGGCAGATTGCTTTTGCACCATACTCGCTGACAGACGTCCCACACTGGCCATTTCCGTGTGGCATGTCGCGATGCTATTGGGCGCCTCACTGCTTCTGTGTTATTTCTTTGGTCCACTGATCTGTTTCCAGAGTTAAAAGGAGATGAGTTTTCCTTAGCACGGGGGTCGTCCGTACTGTGGTGTCATGGTTTTCGGCGAAAATGAGCTTTCTTGTTAGCAGAGGCAGCCAACACGCGCCTTCTGGGCGATTGCTGTCTACGAGGTGTACAGGAAATGCTTTCTGTCCAGTGCATTACCTGTCATCCCTAAAGCAGCCCCGCACCGTAGCCACAACTGCTTTATTCATGGGGCTGGGGCTCAGGGAGGGGGCGTGGCCAGCAGGAGCCAGGAAAAGGGCAGAGAGGGAAAGCCTGCTGCTCTGACCTTACAGAGGCGTCTGCCCCAGCTTTCTCCCTGCAACTCACAGTGCAGTGGAAACACACAGCTTGGTTGAGGAGACAAATCTGAGCCCTGCACAGCACACGGGGAGAGGTTGTCCTGCCGGACGCCCAGCGGGACCCAGCATCCCGTGATTCAGCCCTCCGCTCCGCTCCAGTCACCTGTGAAGCTAAGGCTGTGTCACCAAGTATGCCTGACTTGGCTTTTCCAAAGACACCACCAAACAGAGAGACACCAAGGCCTTCGAAAAACATGTCTAAAAAGGAAGGACAACTACACTCCACAAACATGGCCTGATCTGATGAAAGGAAGAACACAGACTCCAAGTTTCAGGGAATGAAACACCAAGAACTTTCCTTGAGAGAGCGTCACGATGGCGAGCTTGCTCTCTTTGCACTCTTTCTTCTTCAGCGTGCCCATCAATGCTGTCTGTAAACAATGCATGACAGCGTGTGAGCGTCTTCCAGGGTCGAAAATCCTGTTCTCCCTGCGCCCTACCTATTCTCCCTGGGGAGGTACACTGCGGGCTGCCTGGCAGAGGTGTTGTCGGTGAAAGCAGGACCAAGGCCCAACCCTGCACACAGCTGAGGCCCCTGACCACAAGGTCCAGGTCAAAGCACTGAGCAGCCTGGACTCTGCGTAGGGGAAGCTAACGTGTACACTGTGGGCTCGCTGTGTCGGGACACAGGGCTGCCTGGGGCACCTGCAGAAGCCCCTCGGGTTCTCATGCATTAGTCACACGTCGTGGAAAGTACCCATTGCCTTTGGAGTTTATAATGCACATCACCAGTAGGACTAATTGATACAAAATACAACTGAGAATATTGGAAAGGCATAGTGCAGTTTACTGCACACACAGAATGACAAAACAATCACATTTCAGGGGCCCCAAAACTGAAGATGATAGAGAAAAATTAGTGTCAGTGTAACAAGAAAAACCAGAGCAAATTAATGAGGATGGGAATTGCACAGAGTCCCATTTTCTGCTAATTAATAGTCAATGAACAGGTCCTGATGCATTCAGGCTGAGGTGTTGACCTAGGAAATCTGAAATGGAAGAAACAGAGGCACAGACTGTAGCCCATGGTCTAACTCCTAAAATGGACATGGCCACGAATGGAAAAACCAGCTCGTTAAATGTAAACTAGTACAACCACTGTGGAAATCAGTACAGAGACTCCGCAAAAAACTGAATCTAGAAACACCACTCAACCCAGCCAATCTCCTACTAGGTATCTCCCCAAACGAGTTGGAGACAGCGTGCCACAGGGACCAATGCACATCTGTGTTTATAGCCCCAAGACACAATCGCTACACCTTGGGAGGGGCTGTCATCAACAGATGAGTGGATAAAGAAACTGGTGGTTACTGGCAAGGGAGTACTATACTACCACAAAGAAGGATCAACTGGAGTCATTTGCAAGGAAGGGATGCACCTGGAGACCATAATGTTAAGTGATATAAGTCAGACACACAAGCTCAAGTGTCACATGGTTTCTCTTACATGAGAAAACCAACGTAGAAATAAAGAGCAAAGAAGAAAAAAAAAAGATAATAGGAAGTAGGAGATGGATCTTTCTCAAATGGGAAGGGGATCAAGAGATGAAGGGAGAGAAGAGGAGGGGAGGGAAAGAGTGGACAAGGAATTAGGATGTGTTCGTCACACGCACCAGCTCCTCACAGGGAACAGAAACACCATAAACTGCAAACATGGACCGATAAAAAAACAAACAGAAGCAAGCACTAAAATATCAAGTACAGAAGTTGCACATGAAATAATTCAGCTTGGGGGAAATTTTAATGAAACAAAGTGTTGAGAATTGGGTCTATTTTAGCAGTGTAAAAAAGGTTGATAATGCACTTAACTCTGCATGACAGGTTTCAGTGTTGGCATATTTCTTACTGAAATGTTTAAGAACCGGAAATATCTTTTTTTCTTTTTCTTAGACAGTGTCTCGTGTATAGTTCAGGTTGGCCTTAAATGCACTACATAGCCCAGTTTGGCTTCAATCTCACAGGGATGCTCCTGCCTCAGCCTCCCAAGCACCAGGATGACAGGTGTGGGCTACTAGGCCTGGTAGGAGACTACTTCCTCCTTACTCTTCCTCCTTCTGGTCCAGATGGGGGAAGCCATGGCTTCTTAGACTTTATGCCAGTGTTTGTCTTAATTTAGTCCCCCAAAAGGAAGCACTGTCTATCAGGAAAATAATGGTGTTCAAAAAGCTCAGTTCTTCAAAGTTGTGTGGAGAGAGGCAACAGACAGTGGGTAAGTGGAGGCTCTTCCCACAGCCAGGGAGAGAGCACACCTGGGGACCCAGCCAGGTTCCTTCTGCAGAGCACGTGTGGGTGACGGAATCCCAGGACTGGCTGTGGAGACTTTAAGCTGCAGCACCACTTCCAACAAAAACCCAACCTCATCCTGCCGGAGAGCTGCCATGTCCAGGGCCTTCCCCGCCCATAAAGCCTTCCTGAGATGAGAGGCTTCTGTCCTGGCAGAGGGCATCTCCTGCAAGCCCAGAGCCCCACACGCCCAGGCTTGTGAGCCATCCTTCCCCTATCACTGCCAGAAGCACCACTGTGCCCGGCAGAAGAGCTCTGAGACCATGGTGTCTGGGAAGCGGGTGACTGGCTTCAGAACAGGGAGCACCTGCACCGCCAGCCGTGCCCAGGGGAGAGGAGCCTGCCCGAGTCTAAGAAGCCGTTGAGGAAGAGGCACTCACCACCTGCAGATCACCGTCCAGGTGACGCCCACCAAGATGCCGATCAGCAGCGCCCCCAGTGCAAGGGAGACCCAGGATGCCCGCGGAAGCCTGCCAGAGTCTGGCACAGGAGGAGACGAGTGAGGGGCAGCCTGGTAGCCCCACGAGGAGGGAGCATCATCCCTCCTCATGGAAAGTCATGCGACCCCAAGGTCCAGCCTGAGCTCAGTGGACAGCAGGGCCTCACAGCTGTGGGTCAGGGACAGGAAAGACCTTCTGGTCCCAGCCAGGCAGGGCACAGAGCACCCTGCACAAAACTCAGCCCGGGCACCTGGACCTCAAGAAGACTCTGGGTCAGGAAGTTGGGCCAGGCCATTGTCCTGAGGGCAGCGCTGAGCACCCAGGACCACGGGGCAAACACAGATGGCAGACAGCGGTCAGCAGCCCTGCCCTGTCCCAGTCCAGAGAGTGCTGTGGCCTCCCCCTTGGGACCTGGCTGGCAGCTGCTTTCCAGAAACTGCCAGCAGAGTAGGAGGAAGTGCCCACCTACGCAGGTCCTGGCATCCTCGGCCAGCACGTAGGGGTCGGTGCACAGGCACTGGAAGCCGCCCCTGGTGTTCCTGCAGCGAGCAGAGGCATGGCAGGGTGGGAGCACCAGGTCTGCACACTCATCCACATCTGCAGAGACAGAGACAGCAGATGGTCAGCCGGGGAAGGGAGAGCCACGTGCCTGGCCCTGCAGAGCCCTCCGGGGACCCTGCTTCCAGCTGTGTGGCTGCTGTGGCTCCCCACGGAGAGGGGAACCCACGGACATGGAATCCAGAACCTGGACACCTGGAGGCGCTGCTCCGGGCCCCACCGGCTCCCCAAGGTTGGGGACACCATCCCGCCCGCCTGCCATGCTGACCCATCCACCCGGCCTCCTCCATCTCTCAGAAAGCAGCTCCGAGCTGGTCCTGATCAGAGAACCAAAGTCCTTCACTTTTCCAGCCTTCAAGAGCATAAGCCCTGGCAGCCAGCACTGGTTTAATTATATCAGGTTGATGGATCCACTTCCATCCACACTACGTGGGGTGCTGTGCACTCCTGAGGCTAACAGTGGGCTGAGCTGTATGTTTCTATGGGTCTACTTTAGCAGTGTAAAAAAGGTTGATAATGCACTTAACTCTGCATCACAGGTTTTCATTGTTGGCATATTTCTTACTGAAATGTTTAAGTAGGAAATATCTTTTTTTTGGGGGGGGCAGGGTCTTGTGTATAGTTCAGGTTAGCTTTAAATGCACTACATAGCCCAGGTTGGCTGTGACAGATCGCAGCAAACCAATGGCTTAGAAAAGGTACTCATTCCCTCTGGTCTAGATGCCGAAGTCAGAAATCCAGGCGTGGACAGGAGGGCGCCGCCCCCAAGGTTTGGACGATCCCTCAGCCCTCCCCACATCAGAGCTCGCTGCCACCTTCCCATTCCCGCACATGTCCTTCAAGCCCATCTTCACGCAGCCACTGGGCCTCTGCGTCCTCATCTAAAGGACTCGGGGCTCTGGGTCAGGGCCATCAAGGACTGTGCTACAATCAGTAACCGCCTAGCGTGACAGGTGAGGTGTGGATGCACCTATCATGGGTCAGTCGGCCACAGCGCTTGCTCTCTGTGACCCACTCATTCATGGGAGCCTGCGGCGGGGCCTGGCACTCCAGTCTCCTCGCCATGGGCCACGCTGGGCACAGGTGACTGGTCCACCCTGGCTGGGTGACACTGCTCTGGCAGAAGAGGAGGAGCTAGGCTGGGCTGGCGGTGCCCACAGGTTCCCGTCTGACCCGCACACAGGGAGGCACTGTGTGTTGGGCAAGAATCAAGGTTTCCAGAAAGAGCAGGCTGCGGGTCCAGATCTCCCCAGAAACATCTGCGCAGATGTCCCTGCTGCTCTCAGCGCACCTCGCTGATGCCTATCTTTCAGATACAAACAGACACACAGCGGCTGTCTGCTGTCCTCTGTGTGTCACCTCCAGTGATAACTACTGGGAAAGGCCACAGACTGCAGCCTTCATCTGCCAGAATCCGTGGCATAAGAGCTCAGGTGAGACACAATCTGTTTGCTGGGTTTTCCTATTAAATTCTCACCTGCGTGGATTTTAGTTCATAAATGGGAGTTGAACCTCACTGACCTTTGCAGATGGGCGGCGGGGCATCCCACCCATCTGGGGTGCAAGTGACCTGCTCCTGCCCGTGAAGCTGGTATCCATGGTGACAGGAATACACCAGCACATGCTTTCCGGCGTCCTCGCAGTGCATGAAGTCCCCATCCTCCACTTTGTCTGGTAAGCTGCACCTGTCATCTACACAACAGTGAAGTCAAAACACAGTCAGCTACAGCCCAACACCAGCAGGGCTGGCACCCAGCCCCCAGAGTTGCTGTGCGCAGAGAGGCAGCTGTCAGGAGGGGGTCTGCTCACTGTTTCTCATCTAGGCTGGAAGTGCTGGAAGGGTGTGTGTATCCATGTGTGTCCCTATGTGTGAGTATTTATTTCAACAAAGGGGCTCTAGCCTCAGGAGAAGGCATCACTGCCTAGTTCCTGAGCTCCTGTGCAGAGCACAGGCTTGCATGTGTCACACATCAGAGAGCAAGCTCTCTGTGTGGGTGGAGGCACGTGGGCTGACGAAGTCTTCACCACGAGCAGGTGCACATGAAGCCACAGTCAGGACCTTGGCTTTACAGAGCTTGCCCTGAGGATCCCGCATGTGGCCAAATGCTATTCACCATCTTTGCTCCTCCGAAGGTGTGATCTCAAGTGCTGTCCCCAGGACTAGGCAGACCACATACACCTGCCGGCCCTGGACAACCGGGTGCAGAGACAGCACAGTGCTCAGAGCCTGAGTGTGGACAAGGCCTAGGGCCACCACGAGAGCCCTGGCTCTCAGCTTTCCTGTCGAGGTTGGGGGGATGGAGGGCAAGGCTGGGCCACAGTGATTCTTCAGAAGCTCAGGCATGAGCCTGGCCTGCTTTCTCCGACCCAGTTGGTGCCACAACATGCAATCCAGGGTCCCAGCTCACCTTGCAGGAAGGTCTCCCTCCAAGCTTCCAGGTCCAGGCCGGGGATGCGTTCACAGGACTCAAAGTCCTGGGGGAACCGCCCGACACGGAAGGCGTCCCTGGGCACATGGGTGAGGCCAGAGTTGTCGCAGACAACCCGAGACAGGGAGTGCTTTTCCAGCTCCTGCCGCTGAGCCTCTGTGAAGACCCGGCTGTTCTCCCACCAAAACCTGCAGAGGAGGCACAGGTGAGTGGACAGGCCTGGCTCAAGCCGCTTCTAGAACAAGTGCAACGACACAGGAGTCTGGTCAGGTGGGGCTGCACCCGGAACAGGTCTGAGAGCCGCCTGCAGCCCCCACCTCCAGGGAAACGACGTCTCCCACCAGCCGCTGAGCCAGGGCCCCAAGCTCCTGACCTGAGGCCCATGAGCCCTGAGTCACCTTTGTTGTATCGAGTTTCCTTCCCCCACTGCTTGGGAATAAATTCCTTTGGGATGTGACAGCACTTGCTCTACACAAATCCCAGGCACGGGCTAGGAGGATGATCAGTCACCCATGAGGCAATGTGATTTCATGAGATGCCTGCTCATGTAGTCAGAAATATGGGAAATCAGCAATAGTTTGCTTTCAGACTCTTAGGAGACTTTGCACGCCTTTCCTTTTGTAACCACACCATTCGGCTGCCAGATGTGAAAGCTGAGAGGCGACTTGCCCAGGCCCCAAGTCTCCAACAGTGGAGTCAGCGTTTGGACCCAGACTTGCTGCCCCCCACTCCCGCCAGAGTGGAGTGCGCCGGCCCTGCATGTGCAAGAGGCCGCCCTGGTCCCCACCTGTCCCCGTCCCTCAGTGCCTTCATCTGCCTCCCGATGATACAGGCAAACAAGGGGCCGGTCCGGGCCCCCGGCAGGAAGTCCTCAGCCAGGCCACCCAGCCACACGTCGATGTTGTCTGCATGCTTGTAGAGGGCCAGGATCCTGTCCGCCACGCTCCTATTGGCAACAGCCCCATGCAGGTCGGCCGGGGTCTGCAGTTGAGGCAGCCCGCAGAGCTCTCTCCATGCATTGTACCCTACACAGGAGCAGCAGGAGGCACTGAGCTACAGCACAGACCCAGGGGCCCCACAGCACCTGCCTCACCTTCCCTGTGGCACAGGGACCGGGTCACAGCCCTGTCTCTATCCCTGCAGCACAGAGGACCTGTCCAGTGCAACTTGGGCTCTCTGGGAGAGTCTGTGCTGAGGCCCAGCCCGGGCAGGTGTCATGTTGTTACTGGGCTCCACGGAGCTGCAGAGCCGGCTTTCCTGCCACAGTCTGCTCCTCAGCAGCCCTGGACACACAGGGAACACTGGTTCGTGCCCCCCCCCATACACACATGCACAGGGAAATGGGCACAGGCACGCGTACATCTCCCTGACCTGCCTGATCACCCCATGCACTGAAGACCTTGCACATTTTCCCTTCTGGCCAGGGCCAGAGAAGTCCTACTGCGGCCTAGTGCCTGGCTCCTCTCACTGTGCTTCCTCTGCCCATGGACCCAGCACCCAAGCTACTCCCTCCCACGTCCTCTGCCCAGGCTCCAGCTCTGCTGGGCTGCTGGCCATGCCATCTGGCACCCTTCTGGGAGCTACCCATGGCCCCAGCCTGTACAGCTTCCCCTCCTGGACCCTCCATCTCCCCATCCTTCTGTCCCTCCATCCCTTCCTCCTGCTCTCCCCAGGTCCCCCTGCGTAGCTCTCCCTGTAGCCCACCTGCCCTTCCTTCTCCTCATCCTACCCTCTGCAGGTCTTATAAGACCCTGCCTCCTCTTTCGTGGGCCCGGGTGTGCTGTGGGCACGCTGTGGGCATGCTGGAAGTGCTCTGAGGACCAGCAGCTGACCTCCATAGGAGCCCAGCAGGTGAGGCCAGGGGCAGGGCTCAGGGAAGGCCATGGGAGCTGAGGGAAGAGGAGGCCTCAAGGGACACAGAACAGGAAGGGCAGGACACAGGCAGGGCACAGGGTTCTGCAGGCCTAGGTGGCACAGACAGTGACCACACTGGCTGTGGTCAGGGGCAGCTCTGAGGCTTGACACATTCTCCACTGGCCCCAGGGGCCTAGGGCGGTGGGCTGGGGAAGGAGGAGAGGAGATGGGCATCCACTCTTCCAAGGAACTTCCTGGGACACCTGGCACAAACTTGCCAAGATCTGGTCCCCTAGGTTCCCATCCCGCCTCACCCCAGCTCTGGCTCCTGAATGCCCAGGCTCCTTCTGCCTGGGGGCTCAGTACCCTCTGGGGCCAACTCTTTCTGGAGTGGCTGGAAGACGCCTCCTGGGTGAAGGAAACAGCCTGACTGCTCACGGCTGTCTCCCAGAGAACAGGCTTCTAGCCACTATCACCTGCACTGGGGAGAAGTGGTCGGAAGGAGCCACTCACCTGGCAGGCCATGGTCCCGGCCCCTCTGCAGGTTGAGTGATGCCAGGTCTAAGGAGCCAGGGGTGGACAGCACGAAGAGCCTCTCGGTGAGCTCCTCATTCATCAGCTGCTCAGGCACCTGCAGCTTAGCCGGCCTGGCGAGAAGGCCCCGCAGGAGGGGGTCCACGCCACCTGGACAAGGTCACACGGCGGAGTCCCTGCTGCCCTCAAAGGAACTGGCAATTTCTGAACCACGCAGTCCCTTTGTTTTCAAAAGACCCCTGAGTGCAAGTTCACGAGTCGCTGTACGTGCCCGGGCTGTGGGTTAGCATTGAGCTGGAGCTGACTGTGCTGGGTGCTAGGGACAGCCCTGCAGGCTCCCAGGGGCCCCAGAGACTTGCCCTCATCCCCAAAGTCTTTCCTTAGATTCAAAGCAGAGACTGTATGGCCATTCACTGGACTCTGCTGCCCAGAACAGTGAGAAAGAGGAGTGTGGTACCTGGGAGCTGTCGGGGATCCAGGGACCCACTCCACCACCCAGGAAGGCCCAGGGCCTCCTCACAGAAGCCCCAGAAGAGAAGTGACCAATTTTGAATATTCCAGACAGCCAGAAAGAACATGGGGGAAAGGAACAGAAAGAAAAGATGGGACTAACCCTCCAGCATCTAGCCAGGCAATTAAAATGTTTTCTGCCACCAAGGATACCTGAGTCGTGGGCACCCTAAGGCCCATGGTGACTCCTGGCCAGACAGCAGGGCAGAGCTCAGTGGTGAAGGGAGCCTGGAATCCAATGCCATGCACTACCAGAAAAAGGGGTCTCCACTCCAGTGTCTTGAAACCCTCGCGGAGAGTCCCTGCATCTTCTCCATCTATCCCGAGTTCCCACAACAGGGGAACTGATGAGCAGCTCATCTTTTAAGATGCTTTGAACACATTTTCCCCAACAAACACTGATCATTTGGAAGGGATCAGCCAAGAGCCACAGAGGCAGTGACACTGAGCCAGGTGGCTGAGTAGGCTGCAGGCTGGGACCCACCTTCCCCGATGAGCCTCCAGGGGTTGAAGAAGGCATCGCCCAGCCGCAGCGGGGGCAGGTCCGGGTGGTCCTTGAAGGCCACATCCAGCCGCCTGGCCAGGGGATGAATGGTGGCGTGGCCGAAGCGGAAGGCAGCGGTGGAGAAGATATTGGATACCGTGGGGTTCACAGCGGGGTCGTAGCCTTCGTAGGGGCCTACATACCGGCGGAAGGCGTCAGGACCCAGGATCCTGGGGACGTAGTCCCTCAGGGTGATGATCTGTAGAGCGGAAGCGGGAGGTTCAGGGCCAGCCTAGGACATGAGGCAGGTCTAGACCGGCAGACAGGGAGGACCCCGCCCTCGTGACAGCCCCTGGCTTCTTGTCAGCGCCAGAGCAGTGCAGGAGGAGGACGGTTCTGGCGAGGACCCAGTCCCTCAGGTGCCCAACACGATCTCGCCCACACATTCCCGGGGACCCACTGTGTGCACAGTGGCACCGGGGAGCCGCTCGGCGCCGTCCCGCCCTCACCTGGTGCAGGGCGCCCACCACCTTGCGCG